GGGGAGGGGAAGAGAGGGTCGTCTGGATTTTTTAAGGAACCGTGAATATTTTTCACCCTCCGCATTGAAATTAAGCCCGTGGGACTGACCGAGTGCTTCTGGCCTTCGATTTTTACTACGTCGAGGCGAAGGTGTGGCAGCCAGTCATTTGTTTTTTTTTCACAGAGGGTCGCCCGAGCGCCACTGGGTGTACTCGGACAAACACGAAACAAAGAGGAGCGAAAGATATGAAAAAACTCATTGATAACTTTTGAGCCTCCGGCTATGGGGCTGAACCGGGCAAGTTTGTTGTGTACCATCATTTGCAATCCCGTACTTTTATAGAGTACCTTGTAATCGTCTTTGCCTTGCTTTTCTTTTTTTTTCCATTTTTTTTAAACTCAAGCCTTATAGTCGAAGGAACTTTTGACATTTATCGTTCAATTCTGACACGTACTGTTTATCATTCGAGAATGTATGAATCATAACGAAAGAAAGTATGGAGTAACCTGCGTGGCATCTCAATAAACTTTACAGTACACCATCTGCGAGAGACGCAGTTTATTCCCGTCCGTAAAGTGCGACGTCTCACCTTTATGAAAAAAAAAAAAAAAAAAAAAAGGAAAGTAACAAGAAGACAGTGTATGACGGCGTCGATTCCAATCTCGGCTCTGAAGGTGTACCAACACGTGCCCACATTTACAACCTTTAGCCGTATGTTTATCGGAGGGTGGAAGCAAAGGCAGCCTCGCAGGCGCGGCGTGTGCCGTTAATATAAAGACAAATGAATCGGCGCGTGCGTTAAGGCTCTATCTCTCGCCGACGCGCGACCCTCCTACGCCATGTGTCTTTATATACTTACGAGACCCCGCGCGTTCATGTATAATATGACTCTGGCGCTGCCGGCTAGAGCTATATATATGAGTCTCGATCTGCTTTTGCTCGACGAATTTTTTCCCTCCGCGTGTAAGCGACTCGAAAACTCGATTCTCATAATTCTTCCGTGTACCATCCATGGGATTATCGCGCCTTAAATGAACGAGCTCACGATGCTAACAGTTTATATGCCTTATTTTCATGATTTGAAACGTATACGAGGAGTTAATTTTTCTGAATATTTTTCTAGTCATATTGTAATTCTATGCGGTGTGAAATACCAAGTTGACGGCGTTGAAACAACTGCCTTTAATTTTTACAATTCAATGCAATCCTAAGTAAATATTATTATAATAATTTTCCGTATGAAATTATGACTTAAACACCCGAACCAAAAACTTTTCAGGTAATAGTTAACGTTTTAAGTCGAACAGTTCACCAAGAGACAATAGGGCAATGAAACCCCAACTCCTAGATTCACGCGTCAATTTTCAGTCGTACAGTCGCGTGACAATAAATATAGCTATAAATAGCCGACATTGGAATTTCGATGGTAATTAATCCCGACACACCAGAACCATTGCCGTGAACAACAGACCGCACAGTTTGCAGGCCACGCGGATGAATATATTACATTCGGAAAAGCATTATCGCTCGACAGCCGCACGCGGTACTGTAAATATGTATATACACTATAACCTCGTGCGCGTGTACAATATTATAAAGTCCGTGACTGCTATAACTCACTAATGCGCGTTATTAAGTACTGCTTAAGACTTATGAATAAAAGCAATATCAAGACAAATGAGGCGACGTGTACGACCCTTACCCTCCTCTGTGAGTGTGTATGTGTCTCTATATACATATGTACATACGTACATTGTAGGCGCACAAACATGCAACCTGCCCCGATTGGGTGTATTAAAAGCGATATTTTTTTTTCAGCCAAGCAAAATTTCATTAACTCGACTCGTACACTGCCCGTGATCGTTGTTTCATTTATGATCAGCAGGAACGAGATGGATTATGATTTTTTCTTTAAACAAGAGGTAAAATAGAGGGAGTATATTGCCCGTGGGACGCTTTTTTACGATTTTTTTTTTTTCTTCACGACTCCGTCACATGCGTGTGTGCACACTTTGTTATTAAAACTCGGCCTCTTTTTTCGCACGCGCGCACGCCTTCTCTCCCCCGATTTTCTCGGGCCTGACTGTGCCCCACTCCTTATACGTATGTATCCGTGCACGGGCCGCCAATAACGTTTTTACGAGTCACGAGAGCCATTTATTGCTCTGTTCGTTTATTACACGCATCATTTGAAGGGACGGTCGTCGGCAGCAGCGCCGATACGCCACGTGCAGGTGCATCGTCTCGCGGATAAAATCGGAAGTAACGGCACACGGCGCTTTTTGCACCCCAAGAACGAGGAAGAGGCAAGAAAAAAAGAGAGAGCCAATAAAGCCGTGCTTGACAAAACGACGCCGGCGCCAGGTGGGCCCTAACGAAGGCCGAAATCAGGGGCCCGCTTTTTCCGCTTATTCGCGATTTTCGGGCCACGGCCGATGGGTACGCTCTCGGGGGGGGGGGGGGGAGAAAAAGTTCCCTTAAACACCGGATGCGGGGACGGGCGCAAAAAACAGAATGTTCATTGAATCCGAGAGGGGGGCGTTTTTTGACCGCGCTTACGGTATAGTATGGTTAATGCCATGCTTAATTGCCGGCGAGGGGGCCTCGTTCATTACGATTCGGGACGCTGAGTACCAAGGACGAATTAATTAACTCGACGGGTCAATTAAGACCCTCGCGAGGAGGCATTGGGCTCTCTTTTGCGCGAATTTACGCGGCGCTCGAATGTCTCTGTTGACTTCCCTTGAATGAGAGTCATCCTTGGTTTTGTTTTGTGGAACGCGATTCCGTTACCCGTGCATTCATTACGAGATCTGGGGTTGTCCCCCCCTTTTTTTTCAATTTCCGTTTGACCAACAGAGTTGGAGTTAAAGAAACAATGAAACTGATCATTCGACGGTCCCACCAAAATACTCCGTAACGAAGGTATAATCTTCCCCACAGATAATCCTCCGATTACCGACTAAACGTTTTGTTGCAATTTTTTTTTTTTTTTTTTTTTTGTACCATACCAGTATTCAACTAGCACAGGTGCGTATACACAGATGATGATGATGGCCATGTAATCGCACGATGTTCGCATAATTTGCAAACGCGTCCCCTATCCGGCACATGTCCGGCTATTCGTTAAAAAATGCGTCCACTATCTCGGTCTATCGAAAAACACATGATCGGCTTCTCGCGGGGAGCACGTGTAATATCGCCAAATGAGATCTTTCGTCTTCGCCATCAATTATGCGCCAAAAGGAGAGCCGATCGTCAACGTGAGATATTGTAATGTATAAGAAAGCGCATTATATATATATATATATGGGTGCACGTAATATATATATACACACGCCCGGACGAGAGGAGGAGTAAAGGAGGGGCGGTGCACGTAATATACTTTGCAGGGATGCACGTGCATGCATAATGATGCCCGGCCAATCCATTAGTCTTATTAGAAAACGAATCCCTATTAGAGGAATCTATTCCGTGCTCGCGCGCTCGAGGGCTCTTGCTCCTCTCGTCCCTTCCTACTCCGCCCCGAAACAGGAACAAATGAAAAAAAAAAAAAAAAAAAAAAATGACGACGAAACAACAACCACATCTCTTATACCCACCTTATAGCTGGGACACTGCGAGCTCTCGTAAACGACGATAATTTCTTTCCTAATCTTAAGTGTATCGCCGAGCCATAACCGCGAGCTGCGCTCGGCACGCACGGGCTAGGAAAACAAAACAAAGAAACAAAAAAGGGCCTCGTCGGTGAATAAAAATCGGCCCGCGGTATCTCGGCGCGGCACACACGGCCCTTATCGCGCCAAGCGCATCGCCTCCTCCTCCTCCTCCTCCTTCGCCCCTTTCCCATTTATCCACACCGACCTCCACGCGCCTAGAGGAGTCGTCCTCTTCCCTGAGACCCGATGTGCGTGTGTGTATTACGTATAACCACACGAGGTGGAAAGAGTGCAAGGTGCACGCGAATAACGAGCGGAACCGAGCCTGCCTGTGCGAACGCCCCAGAGTAACGTAGCGCGTCCTGGCTAATGCCTTTTTCTCTTCTGAAGAATGTCTTAATCGGCCGAAAAAAATAATATGCTTATCTCGTTTGGGCTTATTTTTGCCAAACTCATCCTCTGCAGTTCGGCTGATGCGACGTGCTTTGGGAAAAGGACTAGTTATTCGATGTAATATCGCAGAAGCGGATTATCACGTCATCGCCCTATACACACCCGTTTGGTTGCTCTACAGCCAACTGATTAGTGGCGATTACATCGAGCAGACGCGCTGGGTGAATTTTGTAACGCACCGCTTGGGTACATGTATTTGCATGCACAAGGGAAGAGGAGGGCTACCGAATAATTTGTAACGCGCTGCATGTCCTGGGATTATACATGTGCCGCAACCACGAGGATGGAGTGACCAGCGAGGGCAGCACGGAGATTTTCGTAAAGCTGGTTTCCGAGCCGAGTGGGCGCACATACAGGTATATGTGCATTGTACTGGCAGTGGGATGCGAGTGTTTGGGCGCTCAAACAATTGTGCTCGATGAACGGGGCTAATCTTCCATTTGGAGGCGCATAAGTGCACGCCATCAGCTTTCAACGTGCAATGGTAGCGTGGTACCGCTGGTACGGCTTGACTCGTTTATCGTTGCGAATTAATTTCGGTTCACGAAACTGCGGATGCATTAAATCTTGAATCCCAAGCAAATCAAAGTCCCTTATTTTTTTGAATGAATCTTCGTAAGGACGCCGTGAAGTACATATTGTGTATTTGTCAAGTTGGTGGTAGCGCAGATTTTTTTGAGTGAACGATAGATAGTTAGCTTGGTTTAACTCAGTTGATCGCACGAGTGGGTAGCTCGAGTTTGATGGGATGGCACGAGTTACCGAAATAGGCCACGAGTGTGATGTTATCGTACCAGTGTTAAAATCTTACTAAGAAGTTGGGCGCATTATTTTTTGTAGTAGTCCGTGGACGTAAAAATTAAGTCTTCATTACATTTATGGATGATAAAAAGATAAAAATGTATATAGTCATTGAGATATTTTTTATTTTATTTTTTCTTATATTGGCATGTTAAATTATTCTTGATAAATCAAACACGTTCATAAAATTACTAGTCTTATGAATCCGTGCATTATTTGGAAACTTGAAATTGGTGTCACCCCTATTTTATTTTTCTAAATGTATATAGAATCCCCTTCCTTAAGCTGTCAGCTTTAAAGCGACTGAATAATACTTTGCATTCCCCATGGTCATCAACAGCAATACAAATCAGTCCTCCATTTTTACAACAGTCAAGGCTTGTATTACACTGAAATTTAAAAAAAACAATTGACTTGAATTTAACTTTCTTTACCAGTTAAGGACCCGAATTGTAAAACGTGTACCATGCGTTTTTTTTTTTTTTTTTTTTTTTTTTTTTACAAAATTCGATACAATTTAGCAAATACAAAAAAAAATCTGCTTGTAAAAAGTATAAATCTGAAACTTTTAACATTTAAAAACTTTTTTTAAATTGAGCATATGTGTGCAACATTACCTCAGTAATGTTTAAGATGTTATTGGGAATGTCATTATCGCTTTAGAATATTTTATTTTCAACCATTGGTGAAACAGTCCTGCGTCTTCCAAACTTCAGTGAAAGTAGTATTTGAGAAAATTTACGAGAGATAAAATGTTAGCAAAAAAATTGTTTATAAAACTAGAGCTTAGTTGTACACATGAACATGGATAGATCAACAAAATTAAAAGTTGTTCAATTGACATTAAATATTGTTTACGTACAGGAGTATCCTTTGCCTGGCACTTTTCATCAGGGCTTTTCCCCGAGATAAAAGTAGTACCCAACACAACTACAAGTACGAATAGAATAATCTTCAACATTCTGCAAAATGCAATAGTTTAATTAAATTAAAAATTATTCATTTAAATAAAAAAAATAAATACAACTATTTTGGTAAAAAATAAACTACTTCAACGTTGCTAATAACTTTTTAATAAAGCACAAGTTAACCACAAGTCGGCCTATTATTTATTCTCGCACCGTAAAAACCCACGTAACATTGCTATTACGGTACAGGTGATTTTATATTCACGTAAAAATATTTGAAGCTCTAGTGAAAATTTTTGGAATCGCGAAAATGAAACAAGAACCAAACAGTCAAATTGATAATCAATTATTACGAGAATGATGACAATAATTATAATATTAAACGGTGATCACACTATAAATAATAACTGACAAAAAATTTTCATTACTATTGTTAGAACGAACTTTTTAACAAACTTAATTTACTTATTTGAAAAATATTTTTAGGAGTAAAACAAGACTCAACTTGTAAAATAAATAGAGTGTAAGTTGTGCGAACGATAATAGACGTTAATCTATGTAAAAAATAGAGGTCACTTGTGAAAGCAAAAAATAATTCTATACAGTAAGTTCTATGATAAGATTTTTTATTAATAAGTCAAAAGAAAATCGTAATAAAATTTTGTATTTGCCAACTTTACAGTTGTTATTACAGTGGGCATGTAAGAAAACATTAAATGGATGTATGATTTCCGTATATACTTCTGTGTAAATTAATTTTTTTAGTATAATGCCAATAACTATTTAATAAATGAACGAAAGTGACTTTTTGCCAATTTTGCATCAGAATCATAATGTTAATATATTATATACTCACTGTAATCTGTATACCTGTGACACCGTAAACTGTACGAATTAATTTTTGTAACCTAATGTCAATGAAAATTAAAAAATCAAATGTCAACTTTTTAAGTGCAATTTATGATAGAAAAAATTAAAAAATAATAGTGTTGATTTAAATTTTACTTAAGAGATTCAATTTATTCTAGAATAATACTTACTGAAAATTTCACAGGAAATCAAATTCAACAACTTCAAGCCTAAACGTCTCTCAGATTTAAACTAAGTTGAATGCTTTAGGGGACTAGGGTTTTTTTTCATAACAAATGCTCGCGGTTTTTATAGCACGCCTTATCAAAACGTGGTAAAATATATTTCATTTGTCTTTGTTATTAGATTGCAATTTATTACCCACGTTGAAACTATCTTGAAAAAATTCAAAGAATTTTTTTTATGGGTCTGCTTTATCAGGGTGAGCAAGAATGTGGCATGAAAAATCTTAAAACATAAAAAATTGTTTATTATACATCGCATTTTTAAATGCAACAAATTAAAAATAAATAAATAACAAATTGCCCAGAAAATGTATATGTGCATGTTTTTATTAGCTATGGAAATATTTTTTAAATGTAATACGAAAATCGTGGTAAGCATAAATAGTGTATGCATGAACAGGTCACGTAAGACACTAACAATTTTATTATACTGCAAATAACATAAATGGTTGTGTAATTATTTCATGTCTTTATGTTTGAATTACTCTTACCAGTGTCAATTTAAGGCTATAAATACATGAATCGTTTGACAGTATCAAAGTTTTGAGTTGACAGTTTAGGAAAACACATTGGTATACAAATGTATACAAACGTGAAATAATAACATATTTTTTCTGTGCAAGGGATTTCACTTTGCAATGTTTTTCAAGTGATGTACTAGTACAATATCGTGTCTAAATAATAAAAAAATTATTTACTGTTATTGTCACTTTAGTAGAACTAATGACAATATGAAACAAATGGAAATCTGAATTATACTTTTTGAAATGAATATGTTAAAATAAACATAATAAATAAACTAAAAAGTACTCAACACAAACATTGTTTTTTTAAGCTTGAATTTGTTAACTGTTGGTTCCACTTTATATGCCAATCATGTTGAAGTAATTAAACAAATCGTCAAAAAAAGAATAGAGTACCCTCCATCAAAAGTCAATGTTCCAAGCAATGTTGGAATTATGACAAATTGCGAATGATTCGTGTTTGATGTAAAAAAATAACCCTGATGCGAATTTCAATAAGAACCACTTTGTAATAGCGTAGTATAGTCTCTCCGAGTGATTCAAAGGGTGTATAATTTGCGTACACGCGCTTTGCAAGTTAACGCGCAGCGTATACACACCCGCAACGGAATACAGAGTAATGCAAATTTGGCGCTCTCTCGCAGTGCACGCGAAGCGTAAAAATAATGAAATGCTAACCAGGCAGCCGACACCCCCTATTGCAGCTCTTCAACATATTGTCGCGGCCACAGCGGCAATTCCGGGTGATAAACGATCGCTCGTTCTCCAGCGCGTACGCGCAAATGTAGCGGAATTAACTGGCCACCACCGAAAATACGTGTATCGCGTGAAAGAGGGTAGGTGGTGTTGCAATAATGCCGGGGCGATAAATATATTGCAGAAGGAAGGGGAAAGCGACAAAATATCGTGAAATAGGAAAGAAGCGCTCGCTCGTGGGCCCTGACGGACGACACCCCCAGGAGCACTAAGTCACTCGGCTTATGCCAACCCGGTCGTCCCGAGCGCGGAATAATATCGTCGTCGTTTCCACATACATGTATGTGCGTGAAAGTGCCGGAGTAAGAAGTGCGACGACACGGAAAGAGAGAATGGTCGTGTAGAAAAGGGGGGAGGAGGGGAGGGTCGGTCGAGGGCTGATTTGCGGATATCCCGGGGCTTTGACAGTTTTTCTACGTGGGATTTGCTGTGTTTATTTACGGGTTGCTCGCTTGGATTGACGATTTGGGACGAGGTAATTTTTTTGACGGCTACGGTGATTGTTTATGCATGATTTGGTTACGTTTTTTTTTTTTTTTTTTTTCTTTCAAGGAATCTAGACGTGATGGTTTCGAAGAGCCACTATTTTATTGATATTGTGGTCACAAGTCGGCCTATTATTTATTCTCGCACCGTAAAAACCCACGTAACATTGCTATTACGGTACAGGTGATTTTATATTCACGTAAAAATATTTGAAGCTCTAGTGAAAATTTTTGGAATCGCGAAAATGAAACAAGAACCAAACAGTCAAATTGATANTTTTTTTTTTTTTTTTTTTTCTTTCAAGGAATCTAGACGTGATGGTTTCGAAGAGCCACTATTTTATTGATATTGTGGTCAAAATATCGGTAATGGCAATATTTTTTTATTCAACATTTGACATATTCACAGTGTGTCGTGTTAAACATAACATAGTAGAGCTGCTTAAAGAGCTATCGATCCGTAAAAGTTTGGGTTCTCTTAAAATAATAAGATTAATTATAAAAATATAAAAAAATACGTATCTATTGTAAATCTATTGTCAAATTTAATAAAGAGCTTATCGATTGAAATTATTATTCTAATTTCTTTTTCATGGAAATAGAATAATAAGTGTGTCCAATATAAAAAAAAATCAATGCCAATCCCACCAATACAATAGATAATATGATTGCACCTTTCTCCTCTCAACATGTAAATGTGAACACAAAACTCAATAGAGCAAAATGCCGTGAGTAACACGCGTTCCCTCAATCGAGGACCCTCATTCGACTCATCGCTCAATTCACGTCTCCTCGTAAGCAAATTATCCTAATCCCGATGCTCCTATTCAGCGAACCAGCAGCAAAGGTAGCTGTCAACTTTGCGCCACGACTCGCTGAAGAATCTTCATACAAAGGAGAAAAAAAAAAAATCCTTGGAGTTAATAAAAGGAGAGAATTTAAGTATGGGGACGAGTTTGAGAAGAAGAAAGGATTAATTCGTACTGTCAGGTCGAATATGCCCGTACGGAGTCCCCTGGAAAGCTCCTGTAGCAAACATAACGCGTTCGCTGAAAAGAAAAGAGCAGCGAAATCCGGCACGGAATAAGGAAGCGAGGCGCCACAGAGTCCGGCAGCAGCGGCCAGAGCAGTGTGGCCTGCCGTCTAAAAGCCGAAGAGAAAGAGGTCGCGCCCTCGCGGCAAAAAGGGTCCGAGCTCCTCAATTATTTAGAGAAATTGTTAAATCTGCAAAAAGCAGCTCCTTCCTCGCCCCGTCCCGAGGGATCATCGTCCGAGAAGAAGCCGGGCGTCCCCTGGACCCTGGCGCCCACCGCCCGGTTTTTCCACTCGGCAGGAAAATTGGTTTTTCACGTGTCAACGAGCAAGTTAGCTGCCAACTTTCGTATGTATACTTGTAACGTGCTCCGTACGCATGTGGTGGGTGTAGCTCTGGGCAGTGCCACTCAAGCAGGTGGATGAGCTGCCGTTGGGTGGTGGATGTACCTTTTAAATCTCATTACCGCTCCCGGGAAGGTCTTCGACGAAAAATTTAATCGGATGCTGTACAGCGCTGGCCGGCTGGTTGAGACGGGGTTTTTAACTGCGTATAAGGAGCAGGGGAGAGCGAGTGGGGTGTACAGAGAGATTACTTTCCAAGAGGTGTAGGATGGAAACTTTTACGGAAAAGTAAAAACAATATTGTATGAGTTGTAGACCAAGGTTTTTGCGGAGAAGGATTTAATTTATGTAGCTTTTTACGCTTTTTAGTCTTTTTTAGACGTATGTACTTTACTTACGAAGGAAAATTTCTTTTTTTTTTTTTTCAGAAATCTGTGGACCCGTTTGAACGTAACTGATGTGTTTGGACATCCCGTTCAATGTATAGTACCAACCAAATCGCATCGAAATCAAGGTAAATAACAATTTTATCTAAAATTAACATTTATTGATTAGTCCTTGCTCTCATGACAATACACAAGCTATTTGAAAAAAACAACCCTTTGCCCGAAAAAAAAAAATATATAACGAGAGAAACCCCATTTCGGATTTGGTAGAAAAAAAAGTGACTGGGCAATAACTCAGCTGGTCGCCGTTCCTCCCATCCCATACATTATTTTTTTTTTTTTTTCTCTTTATTTTAATACACACAACCGCGGCCTCACGTTCGTCTATTGATCGGCAATTTCCGATTGGGTCGCGCGCAAGAGGCTCCCGTCATCGATCGCCCCATTGTCTAGCGCATATTACACGAGCGAGAGAGAGAGAGACTAGCCGGGGCAGCTGACTTTTCATCGTGACTGCCACACCTTGGCGGGATATAGAGAGAAAGCCAACGCTCACGGACGTACACTTACAAATACGTAGCAGCCCCCGAGACGTCGATCCACCCGTCGTTAAAGGAAAATGAACCGTAATGGCGTATAATGGGAGGAGGCCACGCGCTTTATCCTCCCCCTCTCTCTCTCTCTCTTCGATACATATACCTCGATTCTCCGTCTATCTATCTATCTATCTGTCTCTCCGCTGCAGCTCCCGTTCTCCTTCTTCTTCTGGATATCCTTTGCGCTCTTCTTACCCCCTTTAACACGTCTACGAGGTCGCCCTCATTTACGCGCCTTCTTGGCTCCTTCCTCCTTCTTTCTCCGTCTCTTCTTCTTTGTGTTTTCTCTATGCGGATTTCTCGACCCCATCCTCAACTCTGTGTTTGTGTGTATACGTATACATACAGTCTTGCCACGGCTGGAAATGATTTGTGCCAGCTCGGTTCCTTTGTTGGGTGCTGAAGTTTCTCGCTTCGGCATCAATGATACGAACAGTTTGCGGTGAAGGCTTACAGTTATATGCACAGTGTTGGTTATGCGGGATATCTTTCTTTTTTTTTTTTCGATGTCGTAAAATCTCATCGTAAAGTATGGCACGTTGGGGTATGGTAATCGCTCGATTTTCGATTCGCGTCCGAATAACAGTGACTCCTTGGAATGCAATCGGGGATTTTTGTACAGTTTACGAACGATACTTGGTTTTTTTTTTTTTTCTAAATGATAATAGTCAATGTGATTAATGAAGTTGATTGAGTTGATTTGAAAATATTCCCCTTTGTCTTGCAGAAACACGTATTGTTACAATAAAAAAAAAAAAAAAAAGAAAAGAAAAGTTCTTGATAAAAGTTAACAGTTATTGTCTAACGTATCAACACACTCCTCGCGAGACAAAATAAACAGCTACATGACAAACGAAATCCAGCTCAGCCACGGACAGGTGTCACTATAAGCTGCAAACAAT